GGCATATTTGAGTCTCAATTTCAGCCCTTGCTAGCTGTGCAGGCTTGGACAGGCCATCTCCCCACTGGGCTCGGTGTCCTCATCTGTAAGATGATTGCAAATCATCCTTTTTCCTTTCAAAATCCTCTGATTCCGTGTTTATCTGTTCTTTTATTAATTTACTCAAATGCTTGTGGGAAAGGGAGAAAGGGTGATGTGATTCTAGTTTTTTATACATTTTAAAAAGTGCTTTCTGGTCCAGTCCCATGGCCTAGTGGCTAAAGGAGTTGGATCCCCATGGTTGATCATGCAGTTTGAGTCCCAGCCCCAGCAGTTTGAAAAACATGCCTGGTGGTGGTGGTGGTGGTGGTGGTGGTGTGTGTGTGTGCCCACAATCCTGACAGGTTGGAGAGGAGAAGGGACTGTGGTGTTATCATGCCCCATTGGGGGGGTACTTCCTCTCACTGATAAGCATATACCTTTCTGGGGAAAAAAAGTTGCTTTTCATAACTAGAGATAATAACAAAACCATCTTAACACTGTGAAGACATTTTTTTCTTCAATGAAAAATTCCAAAATATTCCTGTAGTTGGAAAAACTCAAGAAGTGAGTACTGTATAGCCCCATTGTAAGCACAAGCAACCCTAGAGCATAGGAGAAAAACTTCATTTGTATTTGAGGGAGCTTCTGGTTCAAGTAGGTGGAGTGGATGCTAGTAAATGTACTCTCCTGATCATTCTCGAAAATAATATGTAGAATAGTGAGCAAGTAAATTCACAGTGAATCCGGAACAGAAGAGGATCCATTAGCTTGACCAGAGATTTTTGTCAAATTTCTGGATGATGGAAAATGAGTGACATTGTCAACAGAGAGTCTGCCACCTTGAAAAAACTCAAGTTCAGTGGGAATATACAGCTGGGCTTCTCTGTGAGTGTCCAAAGGGTACCAAGATTGGAGTTGGCAAGAAGGCGGATAGGAATGGGGAAAGAGGATGTGAATAAGGGGAACTGTTAGAGGTCTGCCCATGAAGTGTTTTCCAGCTGCCAGCCTTCCCTCTCCACCACCAGACACCTGCTCTAAACTTACAGAGTAGAACCACTGGCCTAACAAGTTTATCTGCAGGCAAAAACCAGAGATGATGGTCAAGCCCACCAGTTAGCATGATCGGGTCTAAGGGCTTCCCTTCTGTTAACCTATATAAACCCCACCTTGGCCCCTCTGTTACAGATCCAATTATTCTTAGTTGTTCAGAGAAGCAATGGAAGGATAGGATTGCTCAAGTAATTTCCTAGGGTCAGACAGCCAGTAAACTAGAACTGTATTAACAGGTGCATAGGTGTGGGGGGCAGTGTTTGGTACAGTGAATGAGTATTCCCTGACTTTGGCCTCCTCACACTGTGTTGTTGTGGGGCCCTCAGTTGCTTCCACTTCACACTCTAGAAAATAGTTCTGTTTTGCCAGTGTGCTTTGGAGGCATTTATAATATACCGAAACAAATGAATATATCCATCATCCACATAAATTACGCATTCCCCTGGCCCCCATGAAGAACAGCTACAATCATTAAGCAAAAATCCTGAAGACAATACATTGTTACTGACTACAGGCCACGCTGGTTGTCCATTAGAACTTCAGTCTTCTTCATACCTTGCTGCTACTTTGTATCCTTTCACTTCTATTTCCCTTTTCCTTCCCCCACTCCGACCTTGCTAACCAGTTTTATTCTCTATTTGTATATGTGGCTTTTTCTTTTTCTTTTTTTGATTCCACATATAAGTGACATCATGAAAGATTCTTTGTGGCTGGCTTACTTAACATAATGTTCTCCAGATGATCCATGTTGAGGTTAAAGGCAGGATCTCATTTTTTTTAAAAAGCTGAGTAATATTCCTCTGTGTGTATGTGTGTGTGTGTGTGTGTGTGTGTGTGTGTGTGTGTGTGCATGTGACAGTTTCTTCATCCATTTGTCCATCAAAGGATACCTGGGTTATTTCCAAATCTTGGCTCTCACGGAAAATGCTGTGATGAACATGGCACTGCAGACATCTTTATGAGGTGGTGATTTTATCTGGTCTGAGTGTAAAAATACAAACACACCCAAAAAGGTCTTCTTTGACTTTCATACTTCTTTGGGTCTAAATGTCTTTCACCCAAGCACTCTAAGCTTGGGCCAGTGAATGCATGATCTTCATGCTTTATCTTAAAATGTTTAAACAATGACTGAGTCTGAAATATAGCTATACTTGTTTTAATATAAGCATGTTTTAAATACAAATATATTATTTAACCGTCAACTACCAACCTGAAAGTCTTCAATAAAATGGGGTAAACAGGGGCCAGCAGGTGGTGTGGTAGTTAAGGAGCTGGACTCCCACATGGTTGACCGTGGTTCGAGTCTCGGCCTGATGGCTTACTTTTTCTCTCTCTAGTGAGGACATAAGCCCTATGGCAAAATTTTAAAAATGATAATAATAAATACAACTAATCTTTTTAAATAAAATAGAGTAGACGTGAGAAAGCTTTTCACACTGGGAACAGACACTATCTCCTTAGAAGCTACTGTCAAAATTCCTATCTTGACTTTAATTTGGGTAGATATACAAGCAAACAATCTAACAGTCCGCTAATAATTAGTCCTCTTCTGAAGAGAGAAAGTCAAAGTATTAGCAGTAAAATTATAACAGAAATCTATTCTGAAACCTACCTACATTACTATGAAAAAGACTGACTCTAAACACGAATAATGCAAATATGTAGTAACAGGCTGGCCCCATAGCTCAGTGGTTAAGTGCTGTACATTGGGAGCTGGATTCCTCCTGGCCAACCATAGTTCTGGTCCCAGCACTGGTAGCTTAAGTGGGCCAAATGCTTGCTCGTGTATGCCTCAAATCTTGACAGGATGGAGAAACAGGGAAAAGTGTTGTGGAGTGACCATGCCCCATGGGAAGTGTTTTCTCTCTTTGGTGAGCACAAGCGCCCCCTGACAGGGTACTTTACAAAAATAATAATAATAATAATTATAATACAGTAAGGCTGTAACTAGAACAGCTATTACCTCAAGAGCAGAGAGTTTAGGGAACAACTTTCTCTTTTAAATTTCTTCTTTTTCACCTCACTCTTTTTGCAACAGTTATTTTTTTCAGGGGAATTTCTAAACATGCCTATTGGGGTCAAAAGATTGCTTTATCAACTCTCTGTTG